AGCAACAATATCCCTAGTACCACGACCCCTTCTAAACCCAGCCTGGACTTCCGGCAGTTCTCTGCTGATGTGCTGTTCTAATAATTTTTGGATAATCTTCAGTAGAATCTTGCTTGCATGTGAAATCAATGATATTTACCTATTCCGTGGTCATTCGCTGTTCTGCTCTTCCTGTTGGCACAGCTCATCACCTACCAAAGAAGCCTAAAATGCCGAAAGTTAACTTTCCTAGCCTTTCTTAAAACTATGATAATAGGGACGTATGGTCCAAATGCAACCCAGATGAAGCCTGAATCCAGTGAGTGCTCCTTCTAATTCCTTTGTCACACTCTTTAGGTATGTTCCTCGGAGGGGCCAGTCCCTGGAGAAGGACATCATGCCTGGAAAATAGAGGGTCAGCAAGAGAGAGAAATACCCTCAGCCAGACGGATTCACGCAGCGACCACAATAACGGGCTTACACCCAGAGAAGATGGTGATGATAGCACAGGATGGGACAAGATGTCATTCTGTTGTACATGTGATTGCTTTGAGCCAGAGCTGAACATGGCAGGACCTAGGAACAATAACAACCGCAGTAAAAAGAAACATAGTGCTGCTTTCTTGCATTTTGTGAGAGTATGATGTATGGAGCTGAGGCAGCTGTTTTATAACCATAGGCGCATGCTTAAGAATGAAATCCAGCTTTTGAAGGGTACAAAAGCCAACGGATGAAACAGTCTCTGCTCTTGATGATACCATTTTAGCCCCGGACTTGTGTTATAGGAGATGATAATGCCCTTATTGTTCAGGCCTCTTATCTTCAGCTATTATATTACTTGCAACCAAAGTCATCTCAACTGATAGTTATAATGAAGTTTTTCTCCATTTCTTTTAAAAGTTTTGTTTTAGTCAGTGGTGTCTTAAGAAAGAAAGAATTCAAATCTGCAGTCAAGTCAGCGCTGTAGTTTAGGGTGATCACAGGTAGATTTTAAAATGCTTTACCAGCCTTCAGTCTGTTGTTGTTGTTGTTGTTATATGCTGCTGGTTTGACTATGACTCGTAGGCTCTGAACCCTACCCTGTCTTGAGCCAGTCTCACTGTCTCTGACACACCTGCTCCATTGCCAGGGGCAATTAATCTCATCCAGGGTCTTCCTCTCCTGCACTGACCTTCTACACTTTCAAGCATGATGTCCTTCTCCAGGGACTGGCCCCTCTGAGGAACATGCCTAAAGAGTTTCCTCCTGGCAACATACCCAAAGTATGGGAGACAGATATTCTTGCCTCCAAGAAGCAATCCAGCTTCACCTTCTCTGAGACAGACCTGTTTGTTCTCTTGACAGGCCATCATATATTCTCCACTCTTCTCCAGCGCTACAATTCACGGGCATCAATTCTTCTGCCATCTTTAGTCATTGTCAAGCTCCCCGATGCATAGCCAGCAATTGAGAAGACCATGGCCTGGATTAGAAGTACCTTAAACTCTTGACTGATATCATTGCTTTTTAGCACTCTCGAGAGGTCCTTGACAGCAAATTTTCCTAAAGTGATTCATTTTTTACTTCCTGATAACTGGTGCCAAGAATGTTGATTTCAGACCTGAGCAAGAAGACATTGTTAACAACCTCAATCTCTTCTCCATCTATCATGATGCTGCCAGTTGGCCCAGTGGTGAGAATCTCTGTTGTCTTGATGTTGAGATGCAATCCTTATTGAAGACCTTGACCTACTGCATCAAATGCTATTTGGCAAGCAAGTTTATGTCGTCTACATATCACAAGTTATTACTCCAATCCTGATGCCACATTATTCTTCTTCATCGAATCCAGCCTCCTGAATGATCTGTTCCACATATAGATAGAAAAAATTTGAAGAAAGGACACATACCTGACACACTCCTTTTTTTATTTACAACCATGCAGTATTCCCTTGCTCTGTTCAAACAACATCTTATTAGTCTAGGTATAGGCTTCATATGAGCATGATCAAGTGTTCTGGGATTCTCATTTCTTCTCAGTGTTAGCCATAGTTTGTTGTGATCCACACAGTCAAATGCCTTTGCATAGTTCATCCAACACAAATAGATTTTTTCCCCTGGCACTCTCTGCTTTCAGACAAGATCCATTTGGCATTGGCAATGATATCCCAAGTGCCACGGCCTCTTCTAAATCCAACTTGCATTTCTAGCAGTTCTCTCTTGATGTACTTTCTAGTCGGTTTTGGTTCATCTTCAGCAAGATTTTGCTGAACTTTCAGTTTATTATTTTTAAATTAAAAACAAACATCTTCTGTGTTTCTCTATAATAGAGAAAGCGAAATGTGGCAGTATAGTATTTAGTGAGCTGTGCAGCGAATCCACAGTTAGCACCTCTCTGGTAGTTCAAATCCACCAGCAGCTCTGTGGGAGAAGAGTGAGCAATCTCCTTCCATGTAATTTATAGCCCCAGAAACCCACGGGACAGTCAGCTATGAGTTGGTTTCATCTTGGTGGCAAATAATAAAAAAAGGAATAATTTATGGTGCAATATTAAATAGTTCTTGGCTGCTAATCAAAAGGCAGGCAGTTCAAACCCCCTAGCTGGCCTGTGGGAGAAAAATGTGGCAATCTACTTCCTTAAAGACTACAGCTTTGGAAACTCTCAGAGGAGCTCAGACTCGACAGAACTGCTGTGAGTTGGAACGTACTTGAACAATGAGTTTGAGTGGGTCCAATAAAAAACAGGACACCGAATTTGTAAATTAAAAACGTCCAGGATTTCTACTTCCTGAAAGATAGAATGTTAACGTTGTTGTTGTGTACCATCAAGTCGGAATGGACCCATTGCTGACCCTCCAGTGGGTTTTTAGAGCAATAATCACATGGTAGGAGATGGCTCGTTGTCCCGTGGAGCAACTGGTGGCCTCGAACTGCGTGCCTCTGGGATTGCGACACAGCTTTTTGCCAGTAGGCCACCAGAGTTCCTCTTTAGTATTTTCCACATGTACAAACTCTGTTTTTGTTGCTGCTGGGGTTGCCACAGCAGCTCCAACTCACCCTGTGTACAATGGAATGAACGACTGCTAACACCACCTCTGCTGAGCTTAGGCCATCACTGCAGCCGCTGTGTCAGTCTGCTCATTGGGGTCTTCCTCTCTTTCTCTTCCTGGGAAAGATGCAGCCAGAGTGCTTCTTGGAGGCAAGGATAGTGCAACTTTGTCTCACATATTTTGGGCACGTTATCAGGGGGCCAGTCTTTGGAATAAAAGAGTTGAACAGAAAATTTTGAAGGGCAGATCTGGAAGGCAAAGCAAACCACTAGAACAGAATTCACAGAGACCTAGAATTGGAAAGAAAAGGGGAATAATTCACTCAGCATTTCCCAAACTGAAGGAACTGAAAAAAGAAATACAAACCTCG